ATTCCATTCAATTCTAGACAAAAAAGATAAGATCAGACAAACATTAGGTGAATAGTAGTGTTTATACCGAATCATCAAAAGTGATAAAGAATTCAAGCTTAAAATTTAATTTAATTAACTCATATAATTATTTAAAAAAAAAAAAACATCTATCAAGTCTTGAATTTAAATTCAACATCTGCAACCTTTTTTTTATCTTCAAATTATGATCTCTTTTATTAAAAAAATAAAACAAAAGCAAAAACTGCCCATTGCCAGAATAAATTTGAATTGGATTAGGTAAAAGGCCCTGAAAAGGACAAAAGGTTTTAAGACATAATAATTAATGTGAATACTGTGGTTACATGATATATGATACGTAGGAGTGTGTGGGCTTTTGCTTTTTTGCCTAATCGAATGATGATGTTTTTTTGTCAACTTAATTACGTGATGAATGTCTCTCCAAAGTGGGATTGTGCGGTAATCTTGAAGAAAGAAAAGAAAAGGAGAGAATATCAAATCTTGAGGAGAGACCGTCAATGGTGGTGGGGTGGGTTAGAAGCAAAGAGACAATGGCAATGCTTGCATGATCTGCACCTACCACTCCACGTTGGATAACCAGTCATTTCACACTCAAAGCACCTAATTCCTCTACTTTAACTTCCGCAAAAAAGATATCCACCCTCCTAAAATCTTACCCAACCGTTAATAAATTTATATTGATACTCTAGAAGGAATAATTCGAGGTTTTTTTTTTTTTTTGGATAAAAATACATTATGAAGAACATGTACAAATCATAAGTTGAAATAAGAAATTCCGACAGCTTTAGAATTCGAATTTATTATAGAGTGAAAAGAGTAAATGAAAAATAATAAATGATTATTGATTTCTTTTAAATTAATATTATTTGAAGTAATGAGTTAATTTTTGTGCAAACAATCATGTAATTTATTGATAAACTGTTAAATTTCTAATTTTAGGTTCAAATTTTTTATAATCTTAAATATAAAAGAAGTTAATTTTATATATAGTTCAAATGTGATGAGGTTTTTTATTGTCAAGACAAAAATACCTTTTCATTTTTTTTTTTTCTCTTTGCACTCTCTCTCCCATCGGTCGTGGGTTGATCAGCATCGACGAGGACCAGATCTAGGTAGCCGATGTCACAACAGTCGGATGAAGCCAATTGGCCCCTTCTAATGTCAATCCAACAAGGGGGAAGAGATCAAGTGTCTTTCCCTTTGTCAGATCTATGTCGACAAGGGTCAATTTTATTCCAGCCAATCACATATAGTGGAGTTAGTTGGATTAGATTCAACCTTTAACAGTGCTGACTGGCCCTTGGTCAATTGACGAGGAGAGTGAAAGAAGATGAGATAAAAAAAAAAAAAGATTTTAAAAATTGACAAAGGAAACAGAAAATTTAAAAAAAAAAAAAATCTTTTAAGGGTAAGTTTAGTATTTCATTAAATTTGCATGATATAAAATTTTCAAGATAAGAAAGAGTTATCTTTCATTATTTAATTGAAACTTGAATGCTTTTAGATAATAGCTTTAGTCCGTGAATGAAAACTTTTATTATAAAAGAAAAAGAAGAAAGAAATTAAATTAACTACAATAGAAGATCTTAAGGTAGGAGGGAAAGTAAAAAAAAAAAAATTACTAATTGAGTTGTAAAATAGCTTATATTATTATGAATTTTAATTGTTAGATTAAAAAGGCAAAACAATCCAATTATCAATTTCCCTTTTTTCTTTTTTAATAATGTATTTTACAACTTTTCGATTAAAGTTACACATATTTGATAGGCTTTTTACCTAAATTTAAATGATAACATGTGGAAAAGCCCTTATTATATTTATATACCCAGAATGTCTTTAATTTTAATTGATACTGGATTTCTTTTATAATCACTTTAACATTCTTTCTTACGTGTACATAAATAAAATAATGATTTGTCCATCTACTGTTAATTAATTTTAAATTCAATGTTCATATAAATTTAACATGGTATTAAAATATACATTACTTTTATTCTTTGTTATCTTTGTGATAAGTTTATCATGCCTACTTTGTGATATCTAAGCCACCCGATAAGTCCATTATCTCTACTCTTGAACTTAAGCTCTCCTTATCCATTTACATCAAGTTCATACCACATAATAGTTAGGTTTGTTATCTCTATACATGAAGAGTTTTAATGTAGTGATAAAAGAAATCTAATGTCAATTAAATTAGGAATATCTTGACAGATAAATATAATAAGCAATTCTTCATCTTAGACCTAATAATTTAAAATAAAATACTGTGATACGATATGAAAATGATACGAATAAAAAATATGAAGATAACATGATTTAAAACTTTGAAAAAATCATAAATAGATTTAATAAAATTAAAAAATTATATTTTATCTTTTTGTGTTGACACGAACTGTGATATGTGATTTTTGTGTAAAATATAATACGAATATAATATTTTATATGACAAGTTGACACGAATTGTCAACCCTACTTCATCTATTACCATTAATTTTAGGTTGGATTTCTAGCTAAAATTTAACAAAAGTTTGAACATCTTTACTAAATTTGGCATAAAAACAAGATGGAAGATTTATACTATTTAGGGTGAGGTTAATCGTATATATTCTTACAAATTTTCTATTAAAAATTTTTTTATATCTTTCATAATTAATATAAGATTCATCATTCATGTCAAATATAAGAATATGATTTTACACTTTTAGATGTGTAATAAGATTACAACAAGTCGAAAAATCGGAAAATAGGAACAATGGTATGCAGAATAAATAGTTTCAATTTTAATAACAAATTAATCTTGTTATGTCTTTAAACATTTTGATATGAAATAGAAGTGTCCATCAAGTCGGGCTACCCACCCATTCCATGGACTTGGGCTGACTAAGGCCAGGTTTTGTCCACTATAATTTTTCACTTAAATTCGGTTCTATTTAAGATAAAATTATGTTAATAAATAATTCTTTTTATTAATTTTAATTTTAATTTTAATATATATTTAAAATATTAATACAATTTTAAAAAATTTTCGGACATGATAAACGATAAAAAAAGACTTGAAAATAAAACAATTTAAAATTTTGTCAAAAATTCTATATAAGTTTAAAAAACAAATAAAATATATATTTTATTTTTATAATATAAATATATAAATTATTAATATTTTATTTGATATGAATATATAAATTGTTATATTTAAATGAGACCTCCGATGAGAAGGAAATGTATGACTATTTTGCATTATGGTTGAAGGAAATGTGTGCTTATTTCGGCCTTTTTCCTGTGTTGGAAGAGAGAAACAACAATAACAAAACAAACAAAGAAAGAAAACCAAAAACAGAGTCAGGAAATCATCAGGTTGAGACACTTTTTTCTCATGTAATTAGCATATCCAATTGTTTTAAGCCCGTCCCATCGGCCATCAACTTCCAAATGATATTTCTTCGGATTGTAAAGTTATCGCCTGTAGAAAAGCTGTGACTGCAATTGTGTTGACCCCACTCTCCCAAAATCTCTTTACGTTTTTCTTGGTTTTTTTCTTCCAATGCATCAGAAAATCATTTATATTTCTAATACTATTATCCTTTAAATTTAATATTTATTTTAATTTTTGTTTAAATAAAAAATTAAATTTCCAATTGCATATGAATAAAAATTACGTCCCTACTCAAGGGTTTCTTTAAAAGTTTAAAAGTAAATGATTGTTTAATTTTTTAAATCAAAATAAAATATATCATATTTGATAATTTAAAATAAATAATTATAAATTATATATTCAAAATAATTTTAATAAATAATCATTAATAAAATTTAAATTTAAAATTTTTTATTAATAAAATAAATTTAATCGATTAAATCAATCTCTTATTAATTAAATCCTACTTGTTATTAAAGATAAAGTGCCCAAATCAATTACAGTAAACAAATCAACCTCAGTTCAGCAATTGCGGCACTTTGTCTTTGTGTGCCTCTAACCTCTCGTAGCTGCCCAGCCAGGAATCTAGCGTAGTTTTATAAGTAAACAAACAATGAACCTCAAAAAAACCTTTAATACAACATTTTATATCTTAAATTAGGACAGTTCTTTAAAACGTATGACAATGAAGTTGCTGTTTTTGTGAGCAAACAATTATTGCTACAGAGAAAACAAGTGCCCAGCACTGGATCATTACTGCCATTTATAGTCTCTTCATTTGACTATGAGTAGGCTCGTTACCACCACCACTTGAAATTGCATTGCTACAATTGCAGCTATTTATGAGTTATTGAATGAGCCCCTGCGTTGTCCTTTTTTCCAGTTGAAAATCAAAACTCAAAACTTAATAAACAAACTAGCAAGCAAAGCAAACTAACAATGACTCCCAAAACATTACCATGCAACACCAAATTCATTCTTTTATATTTAGTGAAAAGGAAGGAAAATGGAGAAAAGATAAAAAGACAAGGGAAAAAAAAACGATATCAAGCATGTTTAAGCGAGAATAGTATTTAGATAATTAATCTCTTGATAAATCTTTATATACAACCAGAATATGAAAATTCACTTAATTCATATAATTATTTTTAAGAATAATAAATTTAAATTTTAAATTTTAACACTTTTATTTCATTTTTATATCTTCAAATTACAACTTATTTTGTATTAAAAAAATTATAAATAAAATTATTAATTTAAATAAAATGAATATTTTCTTTTAACAATTGAAATTTTGAATTTAAAAAATAGAAAATACAAATCCATTCTTTTTATTTCATTTTTTAATTTTTTTTTTAGAAAAGAATGATGAAAAAATAATTTTCCTTTTCTATTTTTTTCCCTTTTCCCTCCTTCCAGTTTTAATATATGTCCTTTGCCTCATTCAAATACCTATAAAAAATCATTCAAAAGATAGGAAGAAAACTCCCTAACTAAAATCAAATGAATTTCTCTTTTAATATTCCACTAACAAAATTTTCCTTTGACTTACAAACTTGGGTTTTTTTTTTCTTTCTTTCCACCATCTTTTCTTCATTAAAAGAAAAAAAAAAAAAGCAAGGTTCCTCAAAAGGGCATAATATGGGTAGTCTTAGTATCATAACTTGATAAACAAGACTTGGAATTAACACGAAAAATCTTGAGCAAATCGGCCGACATTTGCCTAACCGCAGGAGAACAATTGCTTTGTATGAGCAGCAAAAACTTGGTCATCCCATTGCTACTAACCACCGCTTCTTGCGCTTTCTCGTCTCTAAACAAATAACAAACGCTCCAAAGTATCGTCACCGCATGCTCCGTCGCTTTACTCGATACTTTCAACACTTTCTGCACAATCGCTTTTAACAATATCGTATCACGCCATATCTCCACCCTCCCTTCTTTGCAAGAAGACAACGTTTCCAGCAGTTTTAATGACTTCTCGATTATCGAAACGGTCATGTTTGGTTCGGATAAGAGGTTCTTTAATTCTGGGATTATTCGAGATTGGATTAGTTTGGTTTTTACTCTTTTGGCCACTGTGATTACGATCAAACAAGATAAGCTCGCTTCGATCAATCTTGGATCCTTCTCTTTACTTAATGATTTCACCAATTCGAGTAATAATGCCTCTTTTTCGGCTATTTTGAGCTTGGATTCTCCATCGACCGCTACGGACTCCAGTAATCGAACCGATTGGATTTCCGAATCTGAGCTTCCTCGTTGTAGGACGAGAAGAATCGTCGACAAGCAATTCGATTCCAACAGCGGCTTCTTGTCCAAAATTTTTCTTTGCATCAAGTCCAAAATCTTAATAACTTGTTCGATTAATTTGATGTCAGATTCCGCATTCCTCATGAAATCGAACACAACGTTCAAAAACCCGTCCATTCTCGCAAGGAATTCGCGGTTATCCTCCGATTCTTTCGCGAAACAAACGATCTTAGTTAACGATGAAAAGCAATTGTTGTCAAGCTGTTTGACCAAGACTTTAACCTGATCTTGAGAAGGAACAACAACTGCGTTGGCCGCCGGTTCGGAGTCGAGTTGACGGCGAGCGACTGAGTCGGACCAGATCTGAATGAGTCGCTGTAAATTCCGGTTGGGAACGAATTCTTTGCTTTGAAGAACTTGCATCGTGACCGGACAAGTGTTGTTGCCGCTGTCTAGCCACCGTTGGATGCTGGTTCTGTCGTACGTTACGCCCGTGCATAAGCTCACTGGGGATTTCATCACATCCAACGATATCGGACACCGAAAAAAACTTGTTACGGTAATGTACAAATCGTCTCTTCCCATTTTTTTCTTTTTCTCGTTTTGACAGCAAGAAAGTGAGAGAAAAATGAAATTTTCAGAGAGAAAAGTGAAAGCTGCAAAAAGAAAGAGAAGTGGGAGTGGGAGAGTGGAGGGATTGGGGGGTGGGGGTTTAAAGAAAGAGAGAGACATAGTCAAAGCATAACTGACGTCATCAATTACTTTCTTATTTCGAAAAAAATGCCTTTTATGTTTTATTGCATTTTTAGTCTTTGGTCAAAGGAAGAGTGTGGTTTTGGAATTGGGGGCATCTTTACTTGCGTGTACTTCAGATTTTGAGATTGAAAATATGAGCCCTCAGATGCATGTCAGAAATGATGTTATGGATCACGAGCTGAAATGAACGGTGAGAGATTAGATGGAGGATAAAGAAATGCGTAGAATGAAGATGGAAACGTGGGGTGGGGAAAGGGTGGGGGCCAGCGGAGGGTTCGGTTTGTCGGTCTTCATTGCATCATTTGTACGTTGAGGAGACCCGTGGATCTTCGATTTGTGGAAGCCGGTTTTTTTTGCTTACTTTTTTAGTTTAATATTTATTTTTAAAGTTTTTTTTGTGGAAAATTTGTTTCTTTCACTTTTAAATTTATTGGCAAATAGGTTTGAGCTATATTCGCTCTACTTTTGACTTATTGTTTTTTTTTTGAACTTGTTTTAGCGCCGATTAGGATAAAAAAAAACACTTCTACGGAAATTTTATAGAAAAAGTTTGTAAAATTTTTTATAAAAAATGAGTGAATAAAAATTAAAATTAAAATTAAAATTAAAAGTAAAAATTTAATCACATATATCAAACATATAAAATTTAAAAAAATTTAATAAATTTTAATATATTTATTAAATAAATATTTTTAGTAAAAAATATTAACAAAATTTTTATCGTTTAATAAATATCGATCAAATTAAAATTATAAATTTAATAATTTTTTTATATATTATTGATTTTCATATCAAATTTTATCAATCTATAGTTTGAATTTTTTATTAAAAATTTTATTTACTTATTTTTAAAAAAAAATTATGAACTTCACTTATGAAACTTTATGTAAGTTTTATCCAAAAAATTTGTTTAAAATCATAATATTTAATTTTTTTGAATTTATTTTTTAAAATTTAGATTAAATTCAAATATTAAACGTATATATTAAATTAAATTAGATTTCAAATCAAAAAATCAAAAATAAAAAAAATAATCAAAACAAATTATATATTGTTATTAGTTTTTATATATATTTTATTAGATTTTATAAACTAAAGTAATTATATTATATCTAAATTTATTTAAATACATTTAAAATCATATTAAATAATCTATAAAAATTTTAAAAATTAAATTTTAAAAATTGATAAACATCACTAAATCGAATCGATAAAATTAAATTCAAATTAAAACTATATAAAAGAAATAATTCGAATTCAAATTGAATTTTAAAAATTTATAATATTATACATTATTCAAAAATTGAATCTAATTTGAATTATTATCACCACTAACATAAATAAAACTTCACTTTTTTTTTGTTATTTTTTATTTTATTTTAATATTATGTTATTATATCATATTTAATATTGCTACATATACTTTTCATTCTCTTATAGTCTTTTGATCTCCTTTCTCACATTCTCATATATTTCTCTTAATTAAGTGTCGGAAACTTCAAAATACATCAACAAATATTTATGATAAATCCACACCTTTGACCTTCTTCTTTATGACAAATCCACTACTATTTCTATTTCAGCTTGTTGCGGCGAGTCCCTCGTCTAGCAGATTAAAAAATACATCAACAAATATCTATAAAAAAAAATGCTTGACGATCTTTATAAGTAATCATATATCATCTTACTTTAAAATTTGGGTTATAGATTATTTTGTTAGACTTGAAAGCAAAACTAAATAACTTGTTGGAAATAATTGCTCCAAATAGTGGAAAATATAATTTCTTGTCCGGGTTGTGTTTTTGGACTTTGATCAAAGTAATTGTTCAAAACTGGTCACTTAAGCTCTGTTTATTTTGCGAAAAATAATTTTTATATTTTCAGATATTTATTTAATTAAAAATTGGTAATCAACAAAAAATAATTTATTGACCAACGAAAAATAAAATTATTTTTTTAAATTATCTTATAGAATTGAAAAGAAAAAATATTTTTTGGAAAAGAAGCTGTTTATAATATAACTATTTATTAATACTTTTGAGTATAATTTTATTTATAAATAATATTATATTAATAAATAAATATATCAAAAATAATCAATAATTTTATTTTAATTATTTTTTATATTAACATAATAATTTAATATTAAATATTATTATCAAAATATAATTATTTTTTAATATAATAATTTTAATATAATTTAATAATAAATAATTTTTAATATTTTAATATTTATATTAATATTATTTAAAAATTAAATTAAAAAAAATCAAATAACGAAAAATATTTCTTATTAACTTATTCAAACAATCAAAAATTTCTTTCAATTCAAAAAGTTTAAACATTTTTAAAAAATTATTTTTTGCAAAATAAATAGAGCCTTAACCATGCTTTACTTGACAAAAACGCGTTCCTAAGTAGAATACAAATCTGGCTTTGGCTCGTTTTAAATCTTACCGTACTAATTTAAAGTACACTAAGGCAGCCTTAATTTGATGGATCGTTGAAAATTTTTATTACATTGAAAATCAACTTAAAAGAAAATTTTCAATTAAAAAGTGTTGAATAAGATGAATAGGTAAAGACCTACATTTCACCTAATGCAAAAAAAATATTCAATAATTTTTTTTTATTTTTTTTTAATTATCGTCCCTTAAAAACACTCTTTCATTATCTGCAATGAAAAATTAAATTTTCAAATTTCAATATTTTATGGTTATCAAATAACATATTTATATTCAGCATTTAATTTTAAGTAAAATATCAAACAATAAGTTATGAATTATTAACTCGTTTATTACTGGACATGCAGTTGGGAAATAATATTAAAGCTATTATTTTGCAGTAAATGAAATTTATGAAGATACAAGTATACAAATAGCCATGCACTTGATTCCAGGACATCATTGCAATAGCACCGAAAGCTTCACATAATGCTAGTCTGGGGGCACCCAACATTATTTGCCTTGATAATCTACATAGCTTCATCATTTTCTTTTAGTTTCACTCACCTTTAAAAATATTTCCCATAAAGTTATCCTATGAGTTAATTACACATTTTCTATTTGAATTTGAAAAAAAAAAACTAATACCTAAAAAAAATAAATTTTGCAATTTACATCTTTAACTTTAAAATTATATATTATATTAATTTAAATTCTAATATCATAACTATATAAACTTATATATATATGATATTTGATAAAAATTATTAAATTTTATACTCGTCGCACATATTTAAATATATTTAAACATATATATTATCTGTATCATAGCAATTTTCTATGATCGGTTAGTTATTATATATCATGTAATATCCATATGAAATTTTAAAAAAATAGTTAACATTTTTATTTAACAAATGATATGGATATAATAAAATTATATTAATTGATCAGATATCATATAAGTGAATTAAGCTAATAATATTAAAAAAATTTGAATTAAAATAATATATTATTTGAAAAATTAGAGTGCAAATTATACAATTATATTTTTTAGGTATCAAATTTATATATTAAAATAATATCACAAATGATTCTCGAATTATAATGAAATACTTAATGTGATATTTAAATTTTAAAAATTTTTAATATGATACTTGAATTATTAATTCATTAATTAATGTGATACTTTAAAAGATGTTTATCAAATACATACCATCATTTTGAGCTAAGGTATTATATGTGATTACTATATTAGTTAACAGATTTAAAATTTAAATATCATAGTAAATATTTTTAAAATTTAAATATCACATTGAATATTTCATTATAATTTAACGATCATTCATGAAATTAACTTTTATATATTTTTTGAAAATTCAAATATAAAAATATAATTAACTCTTATCTTTTTACTATTAACAATATTTTCTAGCCGGAAAAGATTAAATATATAATATCTTATTAAATAATTGGTAAAATGTTTTTTTTGTTTTTTCGAAGAGTTCATTTAAATTTCACCATCTCCTAATATAACCAAAAATAAAATAAAATGCATTGATTAGTTCAAAATTTTGTCAAAACCCAACCAATCCAAATTGAATGCAGTACTCCTAGTTTTGTGGTACAACTTAACTTAGGATAGAGTAAACACTATTACTATAAAATATTATCCAATTAATCCGAGTAAGATATGGGTTCCTTATGAGTGGTTAATATTTGATAAGGTTCAATTAATTTCAACTAACTAAAGGTACATTGACTTGAGACGGTACAATTAGTTTAATTAAATAAAGAATTCTTTTATATACTTATATAGAACTTTAGTTATTAAAATTAGTGGTATTTTATGAATAGATCATATGGATGTTGATAAGGATAATTAAGATTTCACTTTATCTTAAAGAAAAAAAAAAACACTTTAAGATGGATTTCAAATATGAAATTTAGCATACAAGTTTTCTGGCTTTGAAAGATTGAAGTTCCGTTGATGGTTTTACTATTATTTTGATTGTTTTTATTGGTTTGGAATTGGCTCGTGAGTTCGGGTGTTGATCTTTTAACAAAAATTTGATCATGGGATGGCAAAGTTAGAATGTCAATTAAATGATCAACGGGTCTGCTGGAGATCTGCTCCTGCTTTCGTTTGTAATCATGAACCTGATATTGATTAATCTTAATGCTGTTTTCTCTTCTTATAAAAAATGAAAAATGAATCATACACCGCCAATCGCCTTGGATGAAGGATTTGCAACATGCAATTTTAAAGTTAATTGTCACAGTACGTAGATTTTTTAATTGTCACAGGACGACTAGCAAGTCTTACTTGAAGAAAATTGGGATCAGATATGTTAAAGGATAAAGCTTTGTTTCATATTAAACATTTTACATGCTTCTTTTAGTTTCTTAACACGATTCTTAAGAAAATCACATTTCAAAACTAA